TTTTTATAAGCTCAGTGACCAAAATTCGACTGCCTCAAAGTTCAGTGAGCAATCGAAGACATTTTTTAAAATATAGTGTAACAATTGAATTTTTTTTTCATGGTGAGCAATGAAAGACGCTTTCTGACAATTTGGTAATAGCTTAATGGAGCTTCACCTGTGAATTTCATCAATTACGTCATTAATATTGTTAGAGGTTTAAAATAGATGTTATGTCCATGAATAACATCCAATGTTTAGATAAATTTAGTGGTCAAAATTCAACGTTTTAAATTGAATGAGTAATTGAAAAAATATATATAAGTTCAGTGATTATTGAGGCAATTAACCCGAATTTTTTTGAAAACACTGTGTAAATCTAACGTCCTCCAAGTTTCAGTTACTTGGACATCCACGGTAACTACGCGGCTTGTCTATCTCAGGCCGCGTGCCGCCCAGCTCATCGCCCGACGTACGCGTTCCCAGATTCCTATTTCCTTAAATCCTAAGTTCATGATTATCCTATATAATTATAAAAGAATACCAGAATCCTTTCTCACAAACCTGAAAACAGTAACAATTTGAGTACTGGAGAAGTAAAGCAATTTCTATCATCGAGAAAGCATGGCTTCTGAAAATCCAGGAAAACCGAATTATCTTTACCCAGAAGTAATCCAAACCAACCCAGAATCCACTTCTCCATTTCTTTCAAATCGTAAAAATCCCTCTTCATCTATGTACCCTCCTATTGATGTGGACAGCTTAGCAGAAAATCTCTTCCCGGAACCGGAAGAACGAGAAACCCATAACGACGCCGTTTCACAAGGCGGCTCTGCTTCTTTTGAGTCTTCCGAGGAAGTGATGGTCAGAATCCGAGGTTGTATTGTTCATTTGATTGATAAAGATCAGAGTGTTGAGCTTGCAAGTGGGGATTTTACATTAGTTCAATTGAAACAGGGGGATAACGTTGTGGCAGTTTTGGCTCGAATCGGGGAGGAAGTTCAGTGGCCGTTGGCGAGGGATGAGGCGGCGGTGAAGCTTGATGAATCCCATTATTTTTTTACTCTGAGAGTTCCAAGTGAAAGTCATGAAATCAATGATAATATATTAAATTACGGGCTGACGATTGCGTCTAAGGGTCAGGAAAGAGTGCTGAGGGAGTTGGATGGGGTTTTGGAGAAGTACAGTGCATTTAAGGTGGAGAAGGCGGCGGAAGGGGTGGAGCAAGGGTGGTGGGTGGCTGCTAAGGATGTTTCTCCAGCGGAGATGGAAAAGAAAAAAAAGAAGGACGAGGTGGAGAAGAGCGCGGCTGCTTATTGGACGACGTTAGCTCCAAACGTTGAGGACTATAGTGGAAGTTTAGCGAGGATGATTGCGGCTGGGTCGGGACATGTGGTGAAGGGGATATTGTGGTGTGGAGATGTTACTGTAGATAGACTCCGATGGGGGAATGAGTTCTTCAAGAAGAGAATGGGAAAGGGATCGACTTCGGAGATTAGTCCCGAGGCACTGAGAAGAATGAAAAGGTAATTCTTTTACACTTTAATGTAGTGATCAGTTGGAATTTACCTTTTGTACGCATACTTGTGTATGTTCTATTTGCTCTTTGAAGATTGAGTATTCAGTATTATCTGATAACATACAATTTTGGGATCATAGTTTTCATTAAATGTGGTTTTTTTATGATATCTTCATCTGTCTTATGGCTGGGAAGGTTCAAACATGAGATTTTTTTGTATATGATTATCCCCTTGTCACATGATTTCTTCCTCGTACCATGGTCCGTCATGTAGTTGGTGACGGGCAAGAATTGGAAGCCAGGAACTGGGATAAGAGATTGTTGTATTCTAATTTGAATTTATTTTTGCAAAATTTCAATGTAAGAAATCTAATTCTATACTTGTCAATTGATTTTATAAAATGTTCGGGTGCTTAACAAATGTATTTTTGTTCGCAGTAATATGCTATGCACTTTGTGCATATATATATATATATACAAAAAGGCCAGATTGCCAATTCTACAATTTAATTTAAATGTGGCTAAGGATTAATATCATCCATCTTGCATTTTGATAATTGGTCTCTTTTACTTGATCTTCATTTATGTTATTTATTGTGAGGTATATTTTCAGATGTTTCTAATTTTTCAATATCTGCAGGGTTAAGAAATTGACAAAGATGACGGAGTCCGTGGCAACCGGGATACTGTCTGGGGTCGTGAAAGTCTCTGGGTTCTTCACAAGTTCAGTTGTAAACTCTAAAGTAGGACAGAAATTTTTCAGCCTTCTTCCTGGAGAGATCATTCTTGCTTCCTTGGATGGATTCAGTATGTATTTTCTTTGGTTTACCTAACCCTTTCTTAACTCCACAATTCATTTATGCTTCAGTATTAATTTCGATTACTTTGCTATCCAACATTCTAAATGGGACAGCTTAATTGTTTTAGCACAAATTGTGCAGTCAATTGGAATAGAGTTTGGAATGCCTTAGGAGTCAGTTATGGGTTAAGTCTTTATCCAATCCCAATATCAATAATGAACAGAACTAAACAGAAACACACGCAAACATGCAGATTTGTAGTGGTCCACTTTGAGCTACGTCTACTTGCCACTATAGGTTTTCACTAAAATCGAGAAAAAAGAAGTTGGAGATCTCACACCTCATGGTCTCTCACACACGGAGAAAAAAAAATGGTCCTCTCATTTTCCTTTTTGTATATACCGTAGGAGGAAACTGGGATGACATATTATAAAGATATGAATGTCCAATAAAAACCGCCACACAGTTCAACTGAGTCTGAAAACTTCAGAAGCATCATGTACACCTGACAATTGATTTACTGTTTGGCTTTCTTTAGCATAGGTAGATGTACTCACCTCTGTCCTTACAATTCATCCAATTGTGGACTTTTGGAATACAAAACTGCTCCCCCTTCTCTTCCACATGGAGACGGAAAGAATAAAAACATACCATGGGGAAGGAACATTGATATTTTTCTGTTCACACACACACGACCCTCATTGATCTGCATGTCATTTTGATTGGTGAAGAAGGGGAGAGTTGCACTATGAAATGAATAGAAGGGGAGAGTTGCACCATGAAATGAATATGCTGACATTAGAAAGATGATTTTTATACTAGCCACTTGAAACTCAACACGGGGTATTTCTATGAAAAATTATCTTAGACTGCAAGATTTGATGTAATTTTGGGAAGTACAAATCTAAGATGCAGTGCTAAGGCTGTTTGTTAGTTTCTATAATTTTCTTTGTTTCATTATTTTGTTCGTGTTGCACTTTCTTTTTCCAATGTTGCAGAAATTATTCTCTCTCTTTTATGTTTGCACACTCACTCGTTTGTGTATCTGATCTGTCCCAACAGACAAGGTCTGTGATGCTGTTGAAGTTGCTGGAAGGAATGTTATGTCGACTACTTCAGTCGTGACAACCGGGCTTGTTTCTCAGAGGTAATTTATTTTACTGCTTGCAAAGATGTTCCAGTTGTATGACCGATCATAGCTTCCAATTGTCCATCCTTTTCCATTTTAAATTACTAAGGCTGTGTTTGATAGCACATCTTTTCCATGGAAAATGGAAAATCTTTTCCGCACATCTTTTCCACTCTTGCTTTTGGCCTTTTTGACAGCCACTTTTTTCCAAGGAAATTTTTTTCCCAGCCGCCACCCCACGGGCCCATTTTCTTGCTTTTGGCTGTAAATGTTTTCCCACCAAAACTGTTTTCCTGGTTGCTGAATTTTTTTTTTTAATTTGGCAATAGAAACAAATGTTATACCTAATGGTAAAAAAAAAAAAAAAAGATCCACTTTAATGGATAATTTTCATGTAAAACAAAGTCAAACGAACACTAAACTTTGATTAAAAAATGAGTTTTTAGGAAACAATTTTTTTTTTTTTTTTTTTTT